TGATCCAAGGCAGAAAATCAAACATTGCAAGCACCCTAGGATCCCTACACGTGTCCCTTCTCAACCATAACCTCCTCTCCACCCCTAGAGGTACTTACTAGTCTGAGTTCTACGGTAACGATTTTCTTTATTTGTTTAGTTTTATCATTAAATAAAAACAATAGGCTGTAATTTTGCCTGTTACTAAACTCTATGTACATAGAATTATATACTGTGGTTTCTTTTGCTCAGCACTTTGTTTATACAACGGTGGTATTGTGATATAATAAGTATGTACCTTCGTCTTTATCTCCAGCTCCTGGCCAGAGAGCCCATAATTCTTTTAATTCCTAAGTGATAAAGGTGAAGGGTGAAAGGAATGTCTTTTTTTTTTTTTTTTTTTTTTTTTCCTGAGATGGAGTCTCCCTCTGTTCCCAGGCTCAAGTGCTGTGGTGCCATCTTGGCTCACTGCAACCTCCGCCTCCCAGGTTCATGTGATTCTCCTGCCTCAGCCTCCCAAGTAGCTGGGATTACAGGCATGTGCCACCACACTCAGCTACTTCTTGTATTTTTAGTAGACACAGGGTTTCACCATGTTGGCCAGGCTGGTCTTGAACTCCTAACTACAGATGATCCACCCACCTCGGCCTACCAAAGTGCTAGGATTACTGGTGTGAGCCACCACGCCTAGCCATGTCTTTTGTTTTTCATGACAAATCCTTTCAACCAAATCGGAGTTTATGCTAATAAGCTGACTCTTGGAGGGTGGGGGCTGGTTGCCATGTGCTATGGTTTGAATATCTGACCCTCCAAATCTTATGTTGAAATGTAATTCCCAGTGTTGGAGGTGGGGCCTACAGGAGGTGTTTGGGTGATGGGGGTGGATTTCTTATGAATGGCTTGGTGCCATCCTCTCAGTAATGAGTGACTTCTCACTCTGTTGATTCCCACAAGAGCTGATTGTTAGGAAGGGATGGGCCCCTCCCGGCCTCCTGCTTCCTCTCTCACCCTGTGATCTCTGCGCAATGGCTCCCCTTCAGCTTCTGCCATTACTGGAAGCAGCCTGAGGCCCTCACCAGAAGCAGATGCTGGTGCAATCCTTCTTGCACAGCCTGCAGAAACATGAGCCAAGTCAACCTCTTTTCCTTATAAATTACCTATCCTCAGCTTTTCCTTCATCACAGCATTAAATGGACATCAGGGAAGCCAAGCATGTGATTAGAGGATTGGCGCTTTCAGCCGCCCACACCTCTGGGAATGGGAGAAGGGCTAGAGGTTGAGTCAATCACTGGTGACCAATGATTTAATCAACTGGGCCTATGCAATGAAGCATCTATAAAAGCCCTAACTAAAGTGGCTCAGAGAGTTTCAGGGTTGCTGAAAAAGGATGCATCCACATGCAAGAGGGTAGCAGACCCCAAACTCCATGGGAAGATCAGCTCCCATGCTCAGAACCCTTCCAGACCTCACCCTATGTACCTCCTCACCTAGATCATTTGTAATATCCTTTATAATAAACCAGTAAACATAAGTAATGTGTTCCCTGCATTCTATGAGCCATTATAGCAAATTGTCAAACATGTGGGGTTGCGGGAACCCCTGATTTATAGCCAGTTTGTCAGAAGCTCAGGTGATAACCTGGGACTTGTGACTGGCATCTGAAGTAGGGGAGCAGTCTTGTGGGACTGAGCCCTTAACCTGTGGGGTGTCCACTAGCTCAGGGTACTTAGTGTCATAATTGAATTGTAGTTTACTCATCTGTTGTCACCAGGGTTGGAGGATTGCTTAGTGTGAAGGAAAACCTCATACATTTGGTGTCAAAAGTGTGAGTAGAGGAAACAAATGTTTTTCTTTTTCGTTTTTTTTTTTTTGAGACGGAGTCTCGCTCTGTCGCCCAGGTTGGAGTGCAGTAGCATGATCTCGGCTCACTGCAACCTCCTCCATTTCCTGGGTTCAAGCAGTTCTCCTACCTCAGCCTCCCAAGAAGCTGGGATTACAGGTGCCCGCCACCACGCCCAGCTCATTTTTGCATTTTTAGTAGAGACGGGGTTTCACCATGTTGGCCAGGCTGGTCTCAAACTCCTGACCTCAGGTGATCTGCCCGCCTCGGCCTCCCAAAGTGCTAGGATTACAGGTGTGGGCCACTGCACCTGGCCATGTCTTTCTTTTTTCATATTTTTTTGAGACAGGCTCTCACTCTGTTGCCCAGGCTGGAGCGCAGTGATGTGATCATGGCTCATTGTAGCCTTGACTTCCTGAGCTCAAGTGATCCTCCAACCTCAGCTTCCCGAGTACCTGGGATTACAGGCACATGTCACCACGTCCAACTAATTTTTGTATTTTTTTAGAGTTGGGATCTAGCTATGTTGCCCAGGCTGGTCTCAAACTCCTGGCCTCATGTGATCCTCCTGCCTTGTCCTCCTAAAGTGCTGTGATTACAAATATGAGCCACTGTGCCCAGCCATGATTTTCTTTTAACTACACTTACTAGTGTATGAGCTTTAGTTCATATGTTTCATTTTTGCATAGTATTCCATTATATGACTATACGACATTGTACTCTTGATGAGCATGTTGTTGGTTCCTGGTCTGTGGCTGTTACAATGTGTTGCCAGTACTGTTGTTCATGTGTTCTGATGCATGTGAGTACACCATTTAAATATATATATATATATCTGGCCAGGCACGGTGGCTCGCGCCTGTAATACCAGCACTTTGGGAGGCCGAGGCAGCCAGATCACGAGGTCAGGAGTTCGAGACCAGTCTGGCCAACATAGTGAAACCCCATCTCCACTAAAAATACAAAAAATTAACTGGGTGAGGTGGTATGCACCTGAATCCCAGCTACTTGGGAGGCTGAGGGCTGACGCAGGAGAATTACGTGAACCTGGGAGGCAGAGGTTGCAGTGAGCCAAGACCATGCCATTGCACTCCAGCCCAGGGAACAGTGAGAGACTCCGTCTCAAAAAAAAAAAAAAAAAAAAAAAAATATATATATATATATATATGTATATATGCATATATCTGAGCATTACTGGGTGTCTCAGTTGTTTTGTGTTACCATAATAGAATACCTGAAGCTGGTAATTTATACAGAAAAGAGGTTTATTTGACTCATGATTCTGGAAGCCGAAAGGTTCAAGACTGGGTAGCTTTATCTAGTGAGGGCCTCAGGCTGCTTCAACTCATGGGGCAAAGTGGAAGGCGAGTAGTTTGTGCAAGGAGATCACATGGCAAGAGGGGAAGCAAGAGAGAGAAACCAAGGAAGACTATCTATTCTGGAAGAGCAAGAACCCACTTATCCTTGAGGGAGGGCATTCATCTATTCATGAGGAATCTGACCCCATGACCCAAACAGCTCCCACTAGGCCCTGCCTCTCAACCCTGAATGAGTTTTGGTAGGAACAGAACACATCCAAACTATCACCCAAGCACTGGGTGATAACAATGTGTATCTTCAGCTTTCCTACATAATGCCAACCTATTTTCCAAAGCCACTTGGAATTGTTAAGCTTTTCCATTTTTGCCGATGTAGTGGATGTGTATGGTATATAAAGATATTTCTAATATGCATTTTCTTGATTACTAATGAAATTGATCATCTCTTCATGCATTTATTTGCCATTTTGGGTTTTCTGTTTTGTGCAGAGTCTTAAGCTTTTATGTTTTGCCTTTCACATTGAAGTCTATGTAGTATAATGTAGGGATGTAATTTCTTTTCCTCTGTGGGTGCCCAATTGACCCAGCACCATTATGCAGAACACCATCCTTTTCTCAATCTTCTGCAATGAAGCCTTTGTCTAGTCTCAAGCATCCACATATGCATGGATCTGTTTGTGAGTTCTCTACTGTGTCCCATTATTTAATTATTTCTGCACCAACACTTTTTGTTCAACTTTGAACAAAAAGAGGTGATTTAATGCTAATATATGGAGTGGAGAAACTCAACAAGGCCTGTCTGTTCAGGTTTTCCTTGGCCTCACTGTTCCTCCCTGCAACCCCCAGAGGGAAAGGAGTCCTCTGGAACTAGGGTTTAGTTTCTTAACAGCCAGCTGTCACATAGAAAGGCAGGGCTGGAGGAAGGTTAGAGTAGTATTTGCAGGTGCCATGGCTGGCTTTGGGGGAAAAGGGTTCTGGTTTCTATGACCTGTGAGGGGGAAGAGGGATTCTAGTTGCTGTGGCTTGCCTCAGGAGAGGATGAGCGGCCACAGAGAGAAGGGCAGGAGAAGGTCAGAGAGAGACTGTGCTTCTGAAGCTGATGCTTAGACCTTCATTTGGGATATTCTTTTCTGAGCCCCAACAACATACATTCATATGACCCATTGTTAATGCAAAGAGTCAAACTCTGGAAAATACTTGAAGAGATTTATTCCGAGCCAAATATGAGTGATTAATGGCCTGTGACACAGCCCTTAAGAGATCCTGAGAACACGTGCCCAGGGTGGTTGGGGCACAGTGGGGTTTTATGTATTTTCGGGAGGCAGGAGACATCAATCAAATACATGTAAGATACACATTGGTTCGTCTGGAAGGACAAGACAACTCAAAGTGCAGGGAGAGGGGTGCTTCCAGGTCCTAGGTAGATTTAAATATGTTCTGATTAGCAGTTGGTTAAGTTGTTATCAATAGAATGTCCAGGTTGTAATAAGGGGTTGTGGAGACCAAAGTTTTATTATGTAGATGAAGCCTCCAAGTAACAGGCTTCAGAGAGAATAGAGTGTAAATGTTTCTTATCAGACTTAAGGTTGGTCTTGATGTTAACGGCCCACCCCCACCCCCTTCCATCATGGCCTGAACAAGTTTTTCAGGTTAACTTTGGAATGCCCTTGGCAGAGAAGGGTCTATTCAGATGGTTTGGTTTTGGGTTCAGAATTTTATTTTTTGGTTTACACCATTATATCCGAACATATATAAATACAAACAAAAACTTCACCAAAAATTACTTTCTTTTTCTAATGGTGTGTGTTTTGAGACAGGGTCTCTGTCCCTCAGGCTGGAGTGCAGTGGTGATCTCTGCTCACTGCAGCCTTGAACTCCCAGCTCAAGTGATCCTCCCACTTCAGCCTTCCGAGTAGCTGGAACCACAGGCACCCACATGACGCCCAGTTAATTTTTGCATTTTTGATAGAGATGGGGTCGCATTAGATTGCCCAGGCTGGTGTCGACCTCTCTGGCTCACACGATCCTCCCGCCGCGGCTTCCGAGCGGCTGGGTTCAGGCTTGAATCACTGCGCCAGGGCTTTATATTTCGTTTTGAAAATGCTGAGATGGATGCAAAGGGCTGAGTGCTCAGTGTCCGCCAGCCACCCTCAGTTGCGGCTTCCGTCCAAAGAAGGAATCGCACTCCCTGCTGGGGCCACTAACAGCACTAACACGGTCCGAGTGACATATGCAAAGCTCGGGAACGGCGACAGATGGGAAGATGCGTGGGAGCCTGGGGGGCCCTCGGGAGAGCCGCGCACCCTCGCGGCCGACTCAGCCAGTACCCGCACCCTCCTACCCAGATCCCGGCCGCCCGCCAGGACTCTCTGGCCCGCACCTCTATGGTAGGAAACCAAGAAAACAGGAAGTGGCCTCGAGAGGGGGAAGGGAGGGGCGGGGCCTCCGAGGGGCGGGGCCTCCGCCACCACCTCCGCTGCGGACCCAGGCGAGATGGCGGCCACCGAGGGGGTCGGAGAGGCTGCGCAAGGCGGCGAGCCCGGGCAGCCGGAGCAGCCCCCGCCCCAGCCGCACCCACCGCCGCCTCAGCAGCAGCACGAGGAAGAGATGGCGGCCGAGGCCGGGGAAGCCGTGGCGTCCCCCATGGACGACGGGTTTCTGAGCCTGGACTCGCCCTCCTACGTCCTGTACAGGTAACGCCCCCGCGGCGGCCGCGGCGCGGGGCGCTCCCTGGAGGCCCGGCAGCCCCAAGACCCGCGGCGCGCGCTTCCGGCCCCAGCGCGCCCAGGCGAAGTTCCCGCGCGCCGCGTGGGCTGGTGCCGGGCGCTGGGCCCGGGCTGCTGCCGGGAGGTCGCCGCTTGCCAGGGCGGCGCCGGCGCGAGACCGCGGGGACGCGGAGCAGCGAGGTCTCGGCTTCCCTCCTGCTTTAAGCCACGCGGAAACTGCTGCACCCTGGACCGCACTCGTTCAGCTGTTCAGATGTCGCGATTCGTAAATACAAGAAATTTCCCGCTCTCTTTCACGGCCCCAGAACGCTGTGCCGCTAACAACCAGTGAATACCCAAGGGCTAGGGTGCAGTTCTGGTAGCCGGGCAGGAAACCAGGGCCAGATTTGCTCACCCTAAAAACGAGATGTGAGGCTCGTTCCCTTGGCTGGCTCTGCTTGGAGCACTGAGACATTTTCATCCAATCCATATTTTAGCGCCTCGTATCAGCCAGGCTAAAGGCTGAAAAGAGATTTGCTGCTGAACCTCTCTTAAGCCTCCCTGCATCGCCTCGTAGGTAATACAAGTGATGTGTACTGGGGACTGCGGTAACTTTCTTGCCTCTAACACCCCGTCTTTGCTGACGCCCAGTTCCATCAGTTCTTTGCTTTCAGATGGTAATGCTGATTCCCTAATTCCCTGTGAACCTGCAGAGATAATCGCCTTAGGTCTTACTTCTGTAGTTCTAGGTAAACCCATTCGATGGTTTGTTTACCTTGATTTTATGAATGAGTCGTAAAAGCCACTACCCAGATTTTTTTTTTTTTTAACTGAAGATAATGTTTTATTGATTTAAATTGGTAGCCCCATAACCCTCAAGTCGGCTCTCTGGATTGTGAAATACTCAGGTTCTCACATGACTGTGTGTGATTCCCTAGTGACTAAATGACAGCATTACTTTTCCCAGGCCATTCCCCCAGACTCTAGGTGTCACGTCTTTGGTCATGATTTCTCTTGTAGTTCTCTTTGTATAATGGACGCAGTTTCTAGCATTGGATGCCACAGAATATCTCCTGTCAATAGCTGATCATTATAGAGAAATAAAAAGTGAAAGGCGTCTCACGCCTGTAATCCCAGCACTTTGGGAGGCTGAGGTGGGCGGATCACCTAAGGTGAGGAGTTCCAGACTAGCCTGGCCAACATGGTGAAACCCTGTCTCTACTAAAAGTACAAAAATTAGCCGGGCGTGGTGGCGGGCACCTGTAATTCCAGCTACTTGGGAGGCTGAGGCAGGAGAATCACTTGAACCCAGGAGGCAGAGGTTTCAGTGAGCCGAGATTGCGCCATTGCACCCCAGCCTGGTCAAGAGCTCTGTCTCAAAAAAGAAAAAAAAATGGAAAGAATATAAGTGAAAGTGTTTAAGAGAAATTTGGTCACACTGGGTAGTTCACAGAAATTTCTGTAAGCACTCACTGTTGTCACTATACAGTTATTTTAGCATTGCTTATTAAGTAGTCATTGAATGCCTCCTGGGTGCTGTGGATGTTTTAAGCCCTTAACGTCTGTTACCTCATTTAATCCTCCAAAGACCCTTCTAAGGTTGGTAGGTAATAATATTGCCCTGATTTTATAAATGATGAAACTGAGGCCCAAATAAGTAACTTTCTGAAGGTCACACAGCTAGTAAGTGCTAGACCCGGTGTTACAACTTAGGCAGTTGTCAGATTCCAGAGCCTGCTTTCTTATTAGTGATCACCTGCGCCACCTCTTGAGTAAATTAATAGTGCTTATTTTTATCTTAAAATGTCAATTCCTAGTATTTTGTTATTCAAACGTTTTAAAAATGCTGACTCAAAGAATCTTATTAGACCAATGAGTTAGATTGATTTCTAAGTTAAAAATACTGTGAGGCCGGGCATGGTGGCTCATACCTGTAATCCTAGCACTTTGGGAGGCCGAGGCGGGCGGATCACCAGGTTAAGTTATTGAGACCATCCTGGCCAACATGGTGAAACCCCATCTCTACTAAAAATACAAAAATTAGCTGGGGGTGGTGGCGCACGCCTGTAGTCCCGGCTACTCGGGAGGCTGAGACAGAAGAATCTGTTGAACCCTGGAGGTGGAGGTTGCAGCGAGCCGAGATCACACCACTGCACTCCAGCCTGGGTGACAGAGCCAGACTCCTCAAAAAAAAAAGAAAAAATCAGAAAACTGTATACTTGCTGCAAAAACTTATAAAACTTTAAATTTGAAAACTGTTGATTAACTGTTCATCTGAGGGTTTTTTTTTTTTTTTTTGAGACGGAGTCTCGCTCTGTCGCCCAGGCTGGAGTGCAGTGGCTGGATGGATCTCAGCTCACTGCAAGCTCCGCCTCCCGGGTTCACGCCATTCTCCTGCCTCAGCCTCCCGAGTAGCTGGGACTACACGCGCCCACCACCTCGCCCGGCTAGTTTTTTGTATTTTTTTAGTAGAGACGGGGTTTCACCGTGTTAGCCAGGATGGTCTCGATCTCCTGACCTCGTGATCCGCCCGTCTCGGCCTCCCAAAGTGCTGGGATTACAGGCTTGAGCCACCGCGCCCGGCCCATCTGAGGGTTTTTTGTTTTAATTTTACTTTAATAGTTTAATATGTAAAGCATGTTGGCAAAACTTTGTCATGAAGAATCCAACCATGATTGCATTATGAGCCCTGTAAGTTACTAATGTCAATGTAAGTTTTAAAAACACTAGAGTTCTTTTTCTTCTGTATTTGAATGTAACCACTGGTTGGGAAATGTCTGTTTTCAGGGACAGAGCAGAATGGGCTGATATAGATCCAGTGCCGCAGAATGATGGCCCCAGTCCCGTGGTCCAGATCATTTATAGTGACAAATGTAAGTTTGTTTATATTAGGAAAAGGTCTGTAAGTTACACTTAGTAGCAGAATTGGAATTCACAACTATGTAGCAAGGTAGATGACAAATTTCTGTCTAATAAAAATCTGAATGACTTAAGATGAGTTAATTTTGTGTGTTTTTTTATGTATGATTTATCTTTATGATTAAAAGTTTTATTTTGCCCAAAGACTAGACATATTCTAAATAATAAACGTTACAGTATAATAGGTAATAGCTACTATGTGATTGTGGTTTTCTTTTTTTTGCTGGAGACTCCACCGCCTGGGAGATTGTGCATGTAGCACACAATGTAAATGAGTTACTGTTTTTAGAATAAACTTTGGTTGCTGAAACATCAGCATTTAAAAATATATTTTGGCAGTGAAGTGTTTGGCTCAGTTGGAATACATTTATTGATATTAAAATGAGTAGATTTTTTCTTTGACAAAATATTCTTTTATAATGTGGAAATGTAAATTGAAGGTCATGGAAATGTTAATTGTTCTTCTAGGAAAGGGAAAATGAATAAAATGGAATGATAGTTTTGTAATTTTATGTATACATATTTCTTTCAGTTAAGTCTTTACTAAGATCATTCTTTTACAAAAGCGTTTTTTTCTGATAATAAAATGACAATGTTTAAAAAAGAATAATGATGCAGAGGTTTGCCTTATTAAGTGTGCAGATATATTACTAAACTTCAGTGGAAGTAGCACAGAAATAGATAAGTAAGGACTCTAGAAATAGATCCTCACTCTATGAAAGCTTAATATGTGATAAAAAGGACATTTTATACCTTTATGAAAAGGGTGGATTAATCAAATAATGGTTGGAACAGTTGGCTGTGCACTTAGATAAAAGCAGAATTGTATCCCTATCATTCTTACGACGAAGAAGGTATTATTAGGCATTTTGTAAACCTCAGAATTGATTAAGGAAAAGGTCAGAATATATAACTGCACGAAAATGCAAAACTCTCATACGTTGAGAGATATTACATGTGAAGAGACAGTTCACGAAATAGAAATATCTATGAAGAGATATTAACCATACTAGTGATTGGAGAAATATAAACCATAACTTTTTCAGATTCATAAGTACTTATAACAGAGATGTTGGGGAAAACTAATATAATCATATGTTTCCATTGAGGATAAATTAATAACCTTTTTTGCAAGGCATAAAATTAACATTTTGGGCCAGGCTTGTTGGCTCACGCCTGTAATCCCAGCACTTTGGGAGGCCGAGGCAGGCAGATCACCTAAGGTCAGGAGTTCGAGACTAGCCTGGCCAACATGGTGAAACGCTGTCTCTACTAAAAATACAAAAATTAGCTGGGTGTGGTGGCGGCTACCCGTACCCCAGCTACTTGGGAGGCTGAGGCAGGAGAATCGCTTGAACCCGAGAGGTGGAGGTTGCAGTGAGCCAAGATGGTGCCATTGCACCCTAGTCTGGGCAATGAGCAAAACTCTCTCTCAAAAAAATATATATCTATGTATATATATATAACATAGTGAATTCTTACATACACCATGGTTAGAAACCCTGAAGGAAAAGATAAGTTTTAACCTGTCAACCATTTATAGACAGATATATCAATTTAAAACTTACACAGCAAAAGAAACCACAAACAAGTTAAAAAGCAAGCAGCAGTGTGGAAGAAGATACGTCATTTAAACAGTATCCATATTAAAACTAAGACGTTTCTACAACAGGATAAGGAGACAGTTTAATGAAAAAATGGACAAAGGGTATGAACTGGCAATTCACAGAAAAGAAAATGCCATTGGCCAATAAAATAGGAGGAAGAATCCCTTATCATTAGGAATGACACGTTAAAATGAGAATTCCATTTTCTATCCATGATTTAAGTGGCAGAAATGAAAACTGTCTTATGATATTAGGTATGAAGATATATGAAGAGCTCCATGTATTTCATATGGGAGTTTTCATATGTTTAGCCGTTTTGGAAAGCAGTTTGGTATATCTGTTAAAACTGGAAACTGCACTTACCTTACAACCTAGCAGTGTTGCTTCTAATTTAATATTCTGGGTTCATTCTGGCACATGGCATGAGAAGATATGCACAGGAGGTTAAACATATGGGAGTATATTTGTGAGAGAACTTTCTAGAGCTGGAATTACTGGGTCAAAGAGGATGTAAATTTTAATGATTTGTTGTAGAAGTTTTTATACTAGTTTACACTATCTTTAATAATGTATGAGTGAAAAATGCAAAGCCCAGACTTTGGAGACAGACCATCTGGTTCACATTCTAACTTCACATTTTACTGACTGTGTAATCTTGGACAAGTTATTTAACGCCTATGTGCCTTTGTTTCCACCTGTGTAAAATGAGGATCTTGATAGTAACTGTAGATGTAGTAAATTATTCACATAAAATAATAGAATACTTTCTGGTTCATAGTAAGCACTATATATGTTAGCTACTATAATTTGCAGCGTTTTTTTTAAAAAGCAAGATATTGGAAGCTATGCCCATCTTTTGGAGAAATGGATAAAATGTATCATTGTCATACAGTTGAATACTATATAACCATTAAGAGGATTTAGATCTATTATAACATGAACAGATCTCAGAAACAATAAAAAAGTCAAAGTTTTAGAAACTTTAAGCATGACAATATGTTGTTTATATTTTTGTTGTTGTTGTTGAGATAGAGTTTCACTCTCGTTGCCCAGGCTAGAGTGCAATGGCGCAATCTTGGCTCACTGCAACCTCCGCCTCCCGTGTTCAAGTGATTCTCCTGCCTCAGCCTCCTGAGTAGCTACACCATGCCTGGCTAGTTTTGCATTTTTAGCAGAAACGGGGTTTATCCATGTTGGTTAGGCTGGTCTTGAACTCCCGACCTCAGGTGATCCGCCCACCTCGGCCTCCCAGAATGCTGGGATTACAGGCGTGAGCCATCCCACCTGGTCTGTTTTTATAATTTTTGAATTAAAAGAATAATGTTGTTTCGTTTTACCTTTTACATTGAATTGGATTTTGGTTGTTTACCTAGGAACCTGAGGCTTTGGAGCTATCCCAGCCTGATAGCCTCCCAGTTTATTTTATCAGTGTGCATATGTATGTGTGTATGTTTTGTGTGTGTGTGTGTGCGTGTAAAATAATGTATTATATATATATACATTATATACTAGTTAACATGTTATCATTTTGTTTTAAATTTAAATTATTTGGAAACTTGGTTCTTTTTGTTTTTTGAGACAGAGTTTCGCTCTTGTTGCCCAGGCTGGAGTACAATGGTGTGATCTCGCCTCACTGCAACCTCTATCTCCCAGTTTCAATTGATTCTCATGTTTCAGCCTCCTGAGTAGCTGGGATTACAGGCATGTGCCACCACGCCTGGCTAATTTTTGTATTTTTAGTAGAGATGGGGTTTCACCATGTTGGTCAGGCTGGTCTCGAGCTTCTGACCTCAAGTGATGCACCCACCTTGGCCTCCCAGGGTGCTGAGATTACAGGCCTGAGCCACTGCTCAAATTCAACTTTTTAAATATAGTGATTAGAACCAGGTAACCTTTGCATAACTCAGAATTTTGTGAAGAGGAGTAATTGTTCATATTCTTATCCGATATTTTCACTTTCAGTATTATAGGCTAAAAGGAAAAACTGTTTCTCTGTAGTCAAAATACTTTGACACCAAATGTTTGGAATTTTCACACGAAGCAATTTTCTGTAGACACCAACTAGTTGCCCTACAATTTAATTCAGTTCTGACATTACCCAGACAGACCCCACAGGCCAAGGGATCAGTGCTGCAACATCCGTCCCACTTGAGATGCCATTGCAAGTAGTGGGTCCTCACATTACCCACATCTAATATTCTACTTGGCTATAAGTGACCCCTTCCTGTTTTTTTCTTTTCAGAGACAGGCTCTCACTATGTTACTCAGCCTGGTCTCAAACTCTTGGGCTCAAGCAGTCCTCCTGCCTCAGCCTCTCGAGTAGCTGAGATTACAGGTGCAGACCACCATACCTGGCAGTTCCTTATTTTTTTTTTTTTGAGACAGTGTTGCACTGTCACCCAGGCTGGTTGCTTGCGATCATGGCTCACTGCAGCCTTGACCTCCCAGGCTCAAGCGATCCTCCTATCTCCGCCTCCCGAGTAGCTGTGACTGCAGGCCTGGATCACCACACCTGATTAATTTCTATACTTTTTTGTAGAGGCAGGGTTTCACTATGTTGCCCAGGCTGATTTCAAACTGCTGGGTTCAAGTGATCTGCCTGCCTCTCAGTCTTTTGTTTTTTATGTAACCCAGTGCTCCCAATAAATATCCTTGGATACTTGCACACATATGGGAGTATATTTGTGAGAGAACTTTCTAGAGCTGGAATTACTGGGTCAAAGAGGATGTAAATTTTAATTATTTGTTGTAGAAGTTTTTATACTAGTTTACATTATCTTTAATAATGTATGAGTGAAAAATGCAAAGCCCAGAATGTGATGGGATCTCGTTTGCATAAAAAATGAAGGATGGAATTAGGCTATATACTTGTAGATGCATAGAATATATTTGGAAGGATACACTAGAATGAGTTAATAATGGTTGCTTCTAGGGAGGAGGATTGGGAATTTAGTGGAATGGAAATCTAGCGTGAACCTTTTTGTACTGTTTGAGTTTTCTGCCTTTGGGTGGGCATATTTTTCAGATCAAAATAAAATGTCAGAAAAACAGGTATATGAATATATTTGAATATATGCACCCCTAATTTTCCTTTTATACATAAGGTCTATGGGAGATTTGGAATCTGGCATTAACTCATATGCGCACACGTAAGCAGTAAGCATACGGTTATACATAAATAGCCCATGCTTTTTGTGGCTGTGACACTAGGGCATTATCAGGGTGGGGCCACAGCCACTTGACTCTATTTTGCTTGTTGGTATAAATGATACACAGGCAAATAAAATATCTTTATAGGTATAGTGACATTATACATTATAGTGATAATTTTAAGTAAGATGATCCTAATGTAGTTGTGTGCTCTATCTCTAGTTAGAGATGTTTATGATTACTTCCGAGCTGTCCTGCAGCGTGATGAAAGAAGTGAACGAGCTTTTAAGCTAACCCGGGATGCTATTGAGTTAAATGCGGCCAATTATACAGTGTGGTAAGTAATACACATCATCAGTATTCCCTGCTTAAATATTTTACTTCAAGTGGCTTTTCTTTTTTTAAACTGCACTTTTCTTTTTTTAAACTGTACTTTAATTTTTTTAAACTGTACTTTATTTTTTTTTGAAGGGGGGAGGGAGTTTCACTTTTGTTGCCCAGGCTGGAGTACAATTGGTGCAATCTTGGCCCACTGCATCCTCTGCCTCCTGGGTTCAAGTGAGTTTCCTGCCTCAGCCTTCTGAGTAACTGGGATTACAGGCGCCCACCACCACGCCTGGCTAATTTTTTTTGTATTTTTAGTAGAGAGACGGTTTCACCATGTTGGCCAAGCTGGTCTTGAAATCCTGACCTCAGGTAATCCACTCCCCGCAGCCTCCTAAAGTGTTTGGATTACAGGTGTGAGCCACTGCGCCTGGCCTTTAATTTGTATCAAAATAGCAATTCGCGTGTGGGTTTAAAAGTTAAGCTGCGTGAAAAGTAGCGATCTCCAGTCCATTCCCTCCCACTGCCAGTCCCACTCTGCAGAGATGGTAACTCTTAGGGATTTTTTTCTTGAATTAACCTCCATATTCTAGATAATTTGCTTAATTGTTTTTATTTTTTTCATTTCATTTTATTTTATTTTATCTTATTTTTTATTTTTATTTTTGAGATGGAGTCTTGATTTGTCACCCAGGCTGCAGTGCAGTGGCGTGATCTTGGCTCACTGCAACTTGCGCCTCAAGGGTTCAACCGATTCTCCTGCCTCAGCCTCCCCAGTAGCTGGGATTACAGGCACACACCACCATGCCCGGCTAATTTTTGTATTTTTAGTAGAAACGGGGTTTCACCATGTTGGTCAGGCTGGCCTCCATGTCCTGACCTTGTGATCCACCCACCTGAGCCTTCCAAAGTGCTGGGATTACAGACGTGAACTTCTGTGCCCGGCTTATGTTTTTCCTTTAAAACATTATTCTTTCTGTGAAAGATGGTTCTGTGAAAGATGGTTCATTCTCCACTACCCTCCCTACATCACAAATGAGCACTCAGTTTATGTCCATGCTGACACAGTATTTTTTTTTTTTTGAGACGGAGTTTCACTCTTTTTGTCCAGGTTGGAGTGCAATGGTGTGATCTCGGCTCACCGCAACCTCCGCCTTCAGGTTCAATCAGTTCTCCTGCCTCAGCCTCCCAGGTATCTGGGATTACAGCCATGCGCCCCCACACCCGTCTGATTTTGTATTTTTAGTAGAGATGGGGTTTCACCATGTTACTCAGGCTGGTCTTGACCTTCCGACCTCAGGTGATCCCACCTGCCTCATCCTCCCAAAGTGTTGGGATTACAGGCATGAGCCACTGTGCCCGGCTGCTGACCCACATTTAATAGTGTAATTACATTCCCTCTGTCATTTTTGTTTTCTTTGTACCGGTAAGTAATTTGTCTTCCAGATGCTCTGATATATTTGAAGTGTCATTTTTCTGTTGAACACAGGTCATCCTTCAGTTCCATTTTTCTCTTCACCAGTTGGATGCTACATAGCTGGTCTTCAGCTCATTTGTGTGTTAGATCCCCTGTGTCCTAGATCCCATACCTTTCTCTTTCTTGATTCACTTTCTCATTTTATAGAGCATATCATTGAATAGAAGGATGGAAAATAATTTTTGAGATTTATACAATTAAAAATCATTAGTCTCCCTTCAACTTTAGTAATAAAATTCTAGATTGGACATTTCTTTCACTCAGCATTTTAAAACTCTTTTTCTGTTTCTCTTAGCTTCTTTTCAGCTTGAGAAGATTTCCATTCCTTTGTTTAAAACTTTTCTTTTTCTCTTTATGTTCTGGGGATTCTTCTGTGTTCTTCTGATAATTTCTTCTCTTTCCTCTGTTTTCTTTTTCTGAAATGCCTTTTAGTTCTATGTTGTATCTCCTGGATTTTTTTTTTTTTTTTTTTTTTTTTGAGATGGAGTTTCAATCTGTCGCCCAGGCTGGAGTGCAGTGGCGCAATCTTGGCTCACTGCAAGCTCTGCTTCCTGGGTTCATGCCATTTTCCTGCCTCAGCCTTCCGAGTAGCTGGAACTACAGGCACCTGCCACCACGCCCAGCTAATTTTGTTTTTGTATTTTTAGTAGAGATGGAGTTTCACTGTGTTAGCCAGGATGGTCTCGATCTCCCGACCTCATGATCTGCCCACCTCAGCCTCCCAAAGTGCTGGAATTACAGGCGTGAGCCACCACGCCCGGCCTTCTCCTGGATTTTTCTTATTTTCATGTTTATGTTTTTATTTACTTTTGAGATATTTCATCAATTTTATTTTCTAACTTGTATGGATTTTTAAAGATTCTGCATACAGTTTTAATTTGGGGGAGCTGTTTTTTTGTTCTCTGAATTTTTTTTAAAATGCATTGTGTGTGTGTGTTTTGTTTTTTTAATTTCATGGACGTGAGATCTTTTCATCTCTTTTGTTCTCTTTCACATAAATATTTTTCTCAATGGTTGGTAATTTTTGATTTTCTCTTTTTGCGTATGAGAGAGACAGGAAAAATCCTGATTGGAAGCCTTGTATGTGGCAGGATTTATCAGTTGGAGGGCTTCACTGTGAAGTTACTGAGTGGGGGATGTGGCTGTGTTGTAGTGAAATCTCACTTGTCAGTATTTAAGTCTTTTCTCTTGGACAGTGTGTCTCTCAAAGAGTATTAAGTGGTTTATTGCCTCAGTAATGTACATTTGACTGCCATAGTTCTGAGGGGTTAGGCAAGGGAAGATGATAGGAGAGTCTCACTGTTTAGGATATCAACTTTTTGCTTTTTTGCAAATCTTATCCTGTTGCAATTTGAAATAGAAACTTTTTTTTTTCTAACTTTGTATATCAACGTTTTAAATGTCCTTATTTCCACCCTTTAACTCACCCTGCCTTCCAATGTGCCTTGTAACCCATTCTGCTTCAGATTTTTCCAGAGAATAAAGCCACTTGTCTCCTGCCCAAGACAGGATGTCACTTCTGCTCAGGGTAGTGGGAACGGTCTTGGCAACCAAGGACTCTTTCTATAGACTTTCCACTGCTTTTAGTCCCACCTTTGACCCTCAGTTTTGGAAATATGTCATACCTCTGACTTCTGGAATTTTCTTAAAGTCTTATTCTATTTTTTAGTCAGTTAAATCTTGTCTATCTGCTTACACTTCCCATAGTGTCGTTGACCTCTTCCAGTTGCCGTGGTGTCTTTGTCCCTGATTCTCTTTGTTCTTGTGGGTTTATTCCTTTGTTGTCATTTTACTGGGGTTTTATTAGGGAGTGAGAATAAACTTGTTTACTTAATCTACCCTGTTTAACTGGAATTCTCAGTGTGTTTCATCATTTTTGGAACTTAGATTACACTTAAAGATTTCCTGTGAGTTTATTGCTGTTTTGAAAGAAGCAGTATACCTGGAATCAATTACCGATAAAAGCCAAGGGCTTATATTTACATCTGGGAAGTCTACTGGTTTTTTTTTTTTTTTTTTTTTTGAATAATAATGGGGAGAAATACTGTTGTCTCTCCTGTTTAGCGTTTTATTTTATTTTATTTCTATTAATTTTTTTGAGATGGAGTCTCATGCTGTTACCCATTGGAGTACCGTGACATGATCTTGGCTCACTGCAACCTCCGCCTCCCGGGTTCAAGCGATTCTTGTGCCGCAGTGTTGCAAATAGCTGGAATTACAGGTGTCTGACACCACACCCAGCTAATTTTTGTATTTTTGTTTGTTCATTTGTTTGTTTTTTGAGACGGAGTCTCGCTCTGTCACCCAGGCTGGAGTGCAGTGGTGTAATCATTGCTCACTACAACCTCTGACTCCTGGGTTCAAGCGAGTCTCCTGCCTCAGTCTCCCGAGTAGCTGGGACTACAGGTGCCTGCCACCAAGCCCAGCTAATGTTTTTGTGTTTTTAGTAGAGATGGGGTTTCACCATGTTAGCCAGGATGGTCTCAATCTCCTGACCTCGTGATCTGCCCACCTCGGCTTCCCAAAGTGCTGGGATTACAGGCTAATTTTTATATTTTTAGTAGAGATGGGGTTTTGCCATGTTAGCCAGGCTGGTCTCAAACTCCTGACCTCGAGTGATCTGCTGCCTCGGCCTCCCAAAGTGAGTAGTTCATTTTAAAAGCTAATAAAATTAGGTCCTGGAATGTCCCTTACTATATATTGAGTTAAAAATTTTGAAGTAAAACTAGACCAGAACTAACGACGTCTTTAGGAAAATTGTGTGGTGGTGGTGGTGGTGGTTAAACCCCACCTATGGGGAATTTAAAGACAAACTTGTTTCATTTACAAGTAGCATTTTTGTGGTGGTTCTAAAAGTAAATATTTTGTTAATGTGTATAATAGAATTAATTTCTTATATGGATAATGTATCTACACGAACAAGGTATACTGTATAGGGATAGAAATGTCTTTGATTCTCATGTTATAGAACACTGGTGACCAGAGTAGTACCTGAATATAATTTTAGTTGGTTGTCTGTCATTACTTAAGAATAAGAAATTTACTTTTCTTCTATCTCATACTTGTTACCTTTCACTATTTTTTTCTTTTTGAGACGGAGTTTCGCTCTTGTTGCCCGGTCTGGAGTGCAATGGCATGATCTCGGCTTACCGCAGCCTCTACCTTCTGGGTTCAAGTGATTCTCCTGCCTCAGCCTCCCAGGTAGCTGGGATTAAAGGCATGCGCCACCTTGCCAGCTAATTTTGTATTTTTAGTAGAGACGGGGTTTCTCCATGTCGGTTAGGCTGGTCTCAAACTCCTGACCGCAGGTAATCTGCCTCTCAAAGTGCTGGGGTTACAGGCATGAGCCACCGCGCCCGGCCACCTTTCACTGTTTTTACTAAAAGGGCTTGATTTCTTCCAGTGACCAGATAGTCGTATGAATTTGGACACTCACAAGCAGTTAAATTGTTAAATTTTTTTTTTTCTTTTTTTTGGGGTGGAATCTCCCTCTGTCGCCCAGGCTAGAGTGCAGTGGCGTGATCTTGGCTCACTGCAACCTCTGCCTCCTGGGTTCAGGCAATTCTTCTGCTTCAGCCTCACCGAGCAACTGGGACTACAGGCGTGCACCACCATGCCCAGCTAATTTTTTTTTGTATTTTTAGTAGAGACGTCGTTTCACCACATTGGCAAGGATGGTCTTGAACTCGACCTCATGTGATCCGCACACCTTGGCCTCCCAAAGTGCTGGGATTACAGGCATGAGCCACTATGCCTGGCCTATATAATTGTTAAATTATACAGATTACCTGACAAAAATTTATCTAACTCTATTGCTGACTTTTAGCTGTATTTGACATTGTTATTAGGCAACTTCTGTGGAATAATGCGACTTTGGATGTTTTATGTTTGCCCTAGGCATTTCCGGAGAGTTCTCTTAAAGTCACTTCAGAAGGATCTACATGAGGAAATGAACTACATCACTGCAATAATTGAGGAGCAGCCCAAAAACTATCAAGTTTGGTAAGTTTGGAGTCTTGCCGTGTCTCCCAGGCTGGAGTACAGTGGCGTAATCTCGGCTCACTGCAGCCTCTGCCTCCCAGGTTCAAGTGATTCTCCAGCTTCAGCCTCCTGGGTAGCTGGGATTACAGGCACATGCCACCACACCTGGCTAATTTTGTATTTTTAGTAGAGATGGGGTTTTGCCATGTTGGCCAGGCTGGTCTCGAACTTCTGACCTCAGGTGATCTGCCAGCCTCAGCCTCCCAAAGTGCTGGGATTACAGGTGTGAGCCATCCTGCCTGGCCTAGAATTTTATTTAAAAACTACGACTCTAGCCAGGTGCAGTGGCTCATGCCTGTAATCCCAGCAGTTTGGGAGGCTGAGGCGAGCGAATCACTTTAGTTCAGGAGTTCAAGACCAGCCTGGCCAACATGGTGAATCCCTGTCTCTACTAAAAATACAAAAATTTAACCAGGTGTGGTGGCACGCCTGTAATCCCTGCTACTCAGGAGGCTGAGTCAGTAGAATCACTTTAACCCGGGAGGTGGAGGTTGCAGTGAGCTGAGATCACACCACTGCACTCTAGCCTGGGTGACTGAGTGAGACTCTGTCTGAAAAAAAATAAATAAATAAAAAATTAAAAAACTAAAAACTTTACCATTGTGGCCTCTTGATTACAAGATTGTTGTATTTCTAAGAAATTACATTATAAAATAATTGGTTTAATGAGAAAAGAGATTAACTGGAGAGTGTCATACCCTCACTAAAGTTATTTACCCTGTGGAATTAAGGTGCTTTTTTGTAAAAATCTGTAGCTATAAAATTCTGACATCACAGGCATTAGTATTTGATTACATCGTGTTTTTGCTAAAGAGAAATTGTTTTTCTTTTCTGGATACTGCAGACAGTGTCATTAGCACTTCATCACCCACTGTTACGTAAAACACAAAACCACTCAAAGTAGCTGCTACAGAAAGCCCAGCAGTTTTTAAATTGTTGTACATTTCTAGTTGTCCATTCTGTTCGTTTTATAACCAGTATAATACAGGTAATGCAAATTATGTATCCCAGTTAACTAATCACTTTTATTAACTTGTAACTATGAAAACTTATGCTGTAACATAAAGCCCTGTAATTCCTTAAATCGGAGAACATCAGTGTGGACTTTTTCTTCCTCAGTTTGATATCCTGGAGGATCTTATTCTTAGCTTTCTAAATTACTGAACTCACCAGCAACCTGGAAAAATAAAATGCAGGTAGTGTTCATTGACTTGGAGGATTTCTAAAATAAATTTGGAAACCTTCTGTCTAGGCTTTTGTTTTTGGTAGTATCTTGTGTTAATCTGTAAGACGAATTTTTTAATTTTCGAGGCATGTAGAATAGTCATTAAGCATTAAATCCTTCCTTTTTTCCTATTATTCTGCTCACTTTTTGTTGAATGAATGTTATACTCTAATAGATTTTTTAAAGATCCATTTTGAGAGAGAGTTCACTAACCATATAATTCCCTCATTCAAAGTATATAATTCAGTGTTTTTTAGTATATATACAGATCTGTATAATCATTACCATAGTGAAGTTTAGAACATTTTCACTAATAGAGTTCTATAAATATTTCAGCCAAAGAAAAAAATGGAACCCAATATAAAATAAGCCTTAAGTGTTTGCCTAGTACAGAAACTCCTCTGTTGACAGCTTGCAACTTGTCATAGCTACTTGCCGGTGTAGCAGTGAATTCAGTTCTGCCCACTAATTTGTAGACTGAGAAGCTGCTTGTTTGGTGACACTTTGCACTTAGGGAAAATTGATAGGTGTTTGTTAAGTAGAGAAACTTACATATTTAATAAAATAATAGCACATTTTATCTTGTCTCTCATTATACAATCTAGTAATGTTTCTGAATTTTTTGACACAATTTCATGGTTGTCGAAAGATACTACCAGATGTAGTTTGAGATAAACTATCTGATTTTTTTTCTATTTTTTTTTTGTGTGTGTTCCTTTTCTCTCCAGTAGAGTGTTGAGAATTAGAGATGAATTTTTGTTTGTTGCATATCAGCTTTACAACATGTGCTGCTGATGTTTTAGTTCTTGGGTAAATTAACACAAAACTTCTCTCCCTTCTTCTCTGGGCTTTAGGCATCATAGGCGAGTATTAGTGGAATGGCTAAGAGATCCATCTCAGGAGCTTGAATTTATTGCTGATATTCTTAATCAGGATGCAAAGAATTATCATGCCTGGCAGCATCGACAATGGGTTATTCAGGTATTGCCTTTCTTGTACAGTGTTTGTCAGATTTTTATTTTTATTTATTTATTTATTTATTTATTTTTTATTTTTGAACTAAATTACTCTTAAAGTCTGTTTGTAAACCAAAACACACGCATATGTAGATCATTGCACACAATGTATAATAATTAAAAATTATTGGCCATGTTTGGTGGCTCATGTCTGTGATCCCAGTACTTTGGGAGGCCAAGGCAGGAGGATTGAGTGAGGCCAGGAGTTTGAGATCAGCCTGGGCAACAAAGTGAGACCCCCGTCTTTACAAAAAATAGAAAACTTAGCCAGGTATGGTGGCGCACACCTGTTTTCACAGCTGCTTGAGAGGCTGAGGCAGGAGGATTGCTTGAGCCCAAGAATTCGAGGTTGCAGTGAGCTATGATTACACCACTGCACTCTACCCTCGGCAACAGAGTGAGACCCCATCTATTAAAAAAAAAAAGGGAAGAATTATTAAGGTAATTAAAACCTGACATCCTTCATGTTAGCCAATCTTAATAATCTCTTTGGATATGGTACATTTTTAGTATTTTTTAGATTGAATTTGTATCATATTTGCTAACAAATTGAGTATAAAAAGTAGCATATTTTTACTACAGATGTATTATTTTAACTAACAGGTATATATAATATACATTAAGTTTTTTTCATATATAAACTTTGGAATATGATTTTACAGTAACTTAAATAAAACTTAATAAAAGTTAAGTTTTAATAAAAGTAACTTAAATAAAAACTTAATTTTATTTCTACCCACATGTCAAAAGTTTTCTGCTAAATCCTGAATAGAATAGTTGTAACTCCCACTCTGGGTATTTTATTTATTTTAAACAGTTCTAGTATTGTTTCCTGTGAATTTTTTCCAGGAATTGCTACTTTCTGCACTATTCATTAGACCAAGAGCATTTCACCAAGTATTTAAAACTTGAAAATGTTTAAACTTTTCCAAATTTGATTAAAGGGATAACGTATTCTAAAGGTATTCAATATTTTTACTTATTTCTGAAAAACTTAATCACATAAAGGCATACATTTTACACATACAGCTCTCTCCATCTACCACAGTAGATTAAGACATAGAACATAACCAGTATTTTTGAAAAGCTCCCTTAACTGACATGCTTCTTACTAAAATTATCATAAAAGATTCCTATGAGAAAGGATTCCAGAATATCCCTTAATTGTGTTGTAGCTTATGCATTTCTATTTATTTTATAAAGTGTACATAATTGTCTTGTTTTCATATTTGATATATTACGGTTTTATATGTTTCCAGCATAATTTTTAAAAGGTAGTGATTTCAACTATAATGAATTCTGAAAACTGAACAGAGAATCTGTTCTATACATTTTAATATGCGAAATAAAAAGGAAATAACTTGTCCCAAGTGGGACATATATACATCCTTTAATTCATGTGAGTTACTTACCTGGCAGGGGAGATGTCATGATCTCTAAGGTGGTTTTCCCAGGGCAAAGCATACTTGTTGCACTCCGGATATGTTGACCCCTGCAATTTCCCCAAATGTGGAAAGCTCAACTGCATAGTTTGTGATAGGAAGATTGTGTGGCACTTTCTTCCGGTCTTCACGATTTAAGAGCAGGTTTTCTCTGTTTATTTTTATTTAAAAAAAAAAAAAAAGCTGGGTGCGGTGGCTCATGCCTGTAATCCCAGCACTTTGGGAGGCTGAGACGGGCGGATCACGACGTCAGGAGATTGAGACCATCCTGGCTAATACGGTGAAACCCTGTCTCTACTAAAAATACAAAAATATTAGCTGGGTGTAGTGGCAGGCGCCTGTGGTCCCGGCTACTCGGGAGGCTGAGGCAGGAGAATGGCATGAACCTGGGAGACGGAGCTTGCAGTGAGCTGAGATAGTGCCACTGCACTCCAGCCTGGGCGACAGGGAGACCCTGTCTCAAAAAAAAAAAAAAAAAAAAATATATATATATATATATATATATATGTGAGTCAGTGGTTCTCAAGCAGCGGTGATTGTGCCCCCAGGGGACATTTTTGGTTGTTAGAACTTGGGGCATGTTGCTCTTGGCATCTATTGAGTAGAGGGCCAGGATGCTGCTAAACATCCCAAAATGCACAGGACAGTCCCCCACAACAAAGAATTATCCAGCCCGTACTCTCAGTAGTGTCAAAGCCAAGGAACGTGGTCTGTTTCTATATGGAAAGCTGTTTTATCAATATTTCAATTATTTTCAATGAGGATTTAATGAGTTCAGCATAGTCTTTGATGACCTAAAATGGGACTATGAGATGGTTGTTTAAAAAATATTTCGTGACATATATATAAAAAAGTGGTAAAATTTTAGTTTTAAACGTTAGTTTTAAACATGAATCATAAACATTCATGGCCTGTATGTCATTGGCATTGACTGTACTAGAGCCTCTTAAGTGAAGGAGTGGAGGACCCTTCTTTGTCCCCAGCCGATCACAGATTGGATGTATTTTATTGTATTTCATGTATGTCTCATTTATATAAAATACAGTAAAAATCAATTACTTTAAAAATGAGGCTGGGTGCAGTGGCTCATGCCTGTAATCCCAACACTTTGGGAGGCCCAGGCAAGTGGATTCCATGAGGCCAGGGGTACAAGACCAGCCTGGCAACATGGCAAAACCCCGACTCTACAAAAAATACAAAAAAAATTAGACGAACGTAGTGGCGCATGCTTGTGTTCGCAGCTACTCAGGAGGCTGAGGCAGGAGAATCACTTGAGCCCAAGAGGTCGAGGCTATGGTGAGCTATGCTCATGCCACTGCACTCCAGCCTGGGTGACAAAATGAGACCCTGTCTCAAAAGAAAAAAAAAATTAAAAGTGAAATACAGACACACGCAATACTACTCACCAGTCAAAAGAAGTGAATGATCCATACAGGCAACAACTTGGATGGATCTCAAGGGTATGATCCTTAGTGGAAAGGGAATTCTCAGGTTTCAAACTGTATGGCTCCATTGAGATAATATCCTTGAAACAGCAAAATTATAGATGTAGAGAACAGATCAGAGGTTGCCAGGGTGAGGGAAAAGGGGGTACAGCTATAAAGATAGGGGTAGCATGAGGCAGTTTCTGTGTGCTGAAAATCCTGATTGTGGTGGTTATACTATACATGAGATAAAATTGTGTAGATTTATATTCTACCCCCACTCCCCCACCTGTACCACGTACACACAAGTGAGTACATGTAAAATCTGAACAAGGTGAGCAGTTCCATTAACACTAATGTACAGATGTCATTTTCTGGTTTTGGAATTGCACTTTAGTTAGTAAGATGTTTACCGTTTGGGGAATCTAAATGAAGGTCATACAGGGCACTGTGTTATATTTGTAACTTCCATGAATCTGAAAACAAACAGAAACCTGTATAGGGCTGGGCGCACTGGCTCAAGCCTGTAATCCCAGCACTTTGGGAGGCCGAGACGGGCGGATCACGAGGTCAGGAGATCGAGACCATCCTGGCTAACACGGTGAAACCCTGTCTCTACTAAAAATACAAAAAACTAGCCGGGCGAGGTGGCGGCGCCTGTAGTCCCAGGTACTTGGGAGGCTGAGACAGGAGAATGGCGTAAACCCGGGAGGCGGAGCTTGCAGTGAGCTAAGATCCGGCCACTGCACTCCAGCCCGGGCAACAGAGCCAGACTCCGTCTCAAAAAAAAAAAAAAAAAAAAAAAAAAAAAAAAAAAAAAAAGAAACTTGTATAGAAGACCCTACTCCCTGTTTTTCATTATTAGACTCAACAGACATAAAATTGTTACATTGATACAAAAGCTTGTAGTTGTTTACTCTCTTTCTATACTTAGCATGCTGGAGACTGAGAACAGTGGGAGGACACCAATCAGTGCCCACCCTAGGCACTGGTTCCTGAACTTGACTAGGAACTTTCACAAAAATGTTACTTTCCTTAACGTGTTTATTTCTATGATCACCTGTAAAATCGGGGACTATCATAGGAGATTTTTACGTTTTTGCTGTTATCAAATAAGAAGACTCCATTATCTTTTTCAAAGTGAATGTCCCCTACTTTCAAAGTATTTGTAAGTTTTATCATTCTCCTCTTTTAAATTATCTTTATTGGTTCTCTTCCCCCATGATTTTTTTTATTAAGACAGCTTTATAATATAAAAAATTTGTATTGGCCAGGTGCGGTGACTCATGCCTGTAATCCCAGCACTTTGGGAGGCCGAGGTGGGCAGATTGCTTGAGCTCAGGAGTTCAGGACCAGCCTGGCTTGGTTGGGTGCTGTGGCTCACGCCTATAATCCCAGCATGTTGGGAGGCCGAGGCGGGCAGATCGCGAGGTCAGGAGATAGAGACCATCCTGACTAACACGGTGAAACCCCGTCTCTACTAAAAATACAAAAATTAGCCAGGCGTGGTGGCAGGTGCCTGTAGTCCCAGCTACTTGGGAGGCTGAGGCAGGAGAATGACGTGAGCCCGGGAGGTGGAGCTTGCAGTGAGCCGAGATAGTACCACTGCACTCCATCCTGGGTTACAGAGTGAGACTCTGTCTCAAAAAAAAAAAAAAAAAAAAAAAAAGACCAGCCTGACCAACATGGTAAAACCTGGTCTCTATGAAAACTACAAAAATTAGGCGGTTATGTTGGTGCACGCCTGTAGTCCCAGCTACTTGAGGGACTGAGGCAAGAATGTCGTTTTAGCCCGGGAGACGGAGGTTACAGTGAGCTGAGACTATGCCACTGCACTCTAGCCTGGGTGACCAAGTGAGACGCTGACTCAATAAAAATAATAGAAATTTATATCTTTGTCCAATTGTGTATATTTCTTTTTTTTTTTTTTTTTTTTTGAGACAGGGTCTCTTTCTGTTGCCCAGAGTGCAGTGGTGTGATCATAGCTCACTGCAGCCTTAAACTCCTAGGCTCAAGTGATCCTCTTCAGCCTCCTGAGTAGCTGGGATCTAGGCATGTGCCACCATGCCCAACTAATTTTTTTATTTTTATTTTTGTTATTTTTATTAATAAAAATATTGGGCGTGCCACCAATAAAAATACAAATAAATTTTTGTATTTTTAGTAGAGACGGGGTTTCACCCTGTTAGCCAAGTTGGTCTCAAACTCCTGACCTCAGGTGATCCGCCCACTTTGACCTCCCAAAGTGCTGGGATTACAAACGTGAGCCACCGTGCCTGGCCTGTCTTTATTATTTTTCCAGATGAGGTCTTGTTATGTTGCCTCAGCTGGTCTCGAACTCCTGGCCTCAAGTGACCTTTCTGCCTCAGCCTCCTGAAGCAGTGGGATTGCCCATGATAGCCACCACTCCTGACCATGTATGCTTCTCTCCATGTATTTTAATGTAATTTTATCATATATGTGCACTTTTGAATGCTACCCTTTTACTTAATTTTCATTTTTGAATGCTGCCCTTTTACTTCGATTATTAATATCGGCCAGGCATGGTGGCTTAAGCCTGTAATCCCAGCACTTTAGGAGGCTGAGGTGGGTGGATCACCTGAAGTTGGGAGTTCGAGACCAGCCTGACCAACATGGAGAAACCCCATGTCTACTAAAAATACAAAATTAGCCAGGCGTGGAGGCGCATGTCATCCCAGCTACTCGGGAGGCTGAGGCAGGAGAATAGCTTGAACCCGGGAGGTGGAGGTTGCAGTGAGCGGAGATCACGCCATTGCACTCCAGCCTGGGCAACAAGAGTGAAACTCCGTCTCAAAAAAAAAAAGATATATTAATATCAAGTCACATCAAATTTATATCTATACTCATTCTCTTACTAGTGAGTTTGTTGGGGTTTTTTTTCCTCAAAATTTTCTTGGATGTCTTTTTGCCTGCTTTCTGTATGTGTCTTTCCAGGCTCTGTAATCAATTTCATACTTATATCCCCCTCTATTTCCTTTACTTGCAGCTGTCACTACTTTCTGAATTTGTGATAAATCCTGTGTCCTCAGTTCCGTCGTCTTTGTTGTAGTTTTTTTTTTTTATTTTTATTGTTCATAAATAATGGGACATTTCTGATTGGATGATTTTTCTAAATTTTTCCTTTAGGAATTTAAACTTTGGGAAAATGAGCTGCAGTATGTGGACCAACTTCTCAAAGAGGATGTGAGAAATAACTCTGTCTGGAACCAAAGATACTTCGTTATTTCTAACACCACTGGCTACAATGATCGTGCTGTATTGGAGAGAGAAGTCCAGTTAGTAATCTACTTCACTTGCTTATTCATTACAAACATGTTTGCATGCCTACCATGTCTCAGGCACTGGGGATACAGCAGATCAAGATCCTACCTCATGGAACTAAAAGAAAGAGGACAGAGTACTGAGTGAAACATATGATAATAAATTTACAAATAATGTAGCATACCTCTACTTCGTTGTATCTTAAGTTTCTTGAAATATTGCTACTGGAGATTGAAAAGAAATCTTAATGTTATGAGGTATTGTTTAAGAAGCTTTATTTTAAAACCATCTCATTAAATTCCGTTGCATTTTAGATAGTTGTCCCTAGATGCCATGTTACCCTAGTGCAGGGTTTGGGGCCGGTAAGTTTTTGTTGCAGGGGGCTATCTTGTGTTTTGTAGGGTATTTAGCAGCATCCTGGCCTTAAAACAAAAATGTTTTCAGACATTGCCAAATGTCCCCTGAGCGGTAAAGTCACCCCCAAATTGAGAACTAGTATACAAAGAGCTATTATTAGAGCTAGAAATTTCTGAATTGGCATCAATTTCTATATTGTATCCATAAACATTAGTAGCCGCGATTTTTTGTGACCTTATTTGTCCATTGTGTGTGAGTGTCTGTTTCATAATTTGAACAGGCTTGTTGTTTTCAGAGCCTGATGAGATGGGAGTCGTGATTTGAGTGTAAACATGTATGAGTGACTATTGGGTGGAGCTGACTGGTATGGTGCATCTCCTCTCCTCCAAGCTCTTGATGTTGCCTGGATCGAGGCAGCTTGCTCTTCTTTTATCTGCTCTATACAGGATTCTGGTGACTTAAAATTTATGAAAGGTTTTAATCCATGTCTCACCTTAACATTCTGCTCTGGGCTTATATCTGGAGCGTGCACTACCCCTCAAGCACACTTTATGTTTTTTTTCTAGTGCTCTCCTATATAAAGCTCTACAGGCATACCTGATTTTTTGAGCCTTGCAGATACTATGTTTTTTGTTTTTGTTTTAACAAGTTGAAGGTTTGTGGCAGTCTTGTGTTGAGCATGTCTGTCAGTGCCATTCTTTATCACTGCACGTGTTCACTTTGTGTCTCCGTGTCACATTTTGGTACTCCTCAGTATTCCATATTTTTTCGTAATCATTATGTCTGTTCCAGTGATTTGTGATCAGTCATCTTTGATCAGTCATCTGTTGTAATTGTTTGGGGGTGCCACAAACTGCACCCATATAAAATAGTGAATATCACTGTTGCATGTGTTCTACCATCTCTCTCCCTCCCCTCAGGCCTCCCTATTCCCTGAGACACAACAATATTGAAATTAAGCCAATTAACCCTACAATGTCCTCTGAGTGTTCAAGTGAAAGGAAGAGTCACACCCTCTCACTTTAAATCAAAAGCTATAAATGGTTAAGCTTAGTGAGGAACACATGTCAAAAGCTGAGATAGGTGCAAAGCTAGGTCACTTGCACCAAACACCAAACTCATAAGAAAGAGTTCTTGAAGGAAATTAAAAGTGCTGCTCCAGTGAACACATGGACAAAATAGCATTATTGCTGATATGGAGGAAGTTTGAGTGGCCTGGATAAAAGATAAGACCAGCCACAGCATTCCCTTAAGCCAAAGCCTAATCCAGTGGAAGCCCTAATTCTCTTTAATTTGATGAAGGCTGAGAGAAGTGAGGAAGCGGCAGAAGAAAACCTGGATGCTAGCAGAGGCTGGTTCATGAGGTATAAGAAAGAAGCCATCTCCATAGCATGGAAGTGCAAGGTGAAGCAGCAAGTGCTGCTGGGGAAGCTGCAGCGACTTCTCCAGAAGATGCAGCTCAGATCACTGATGAAGGTGACTGCGTGTAAACAGAAGGTTTTCAGTGTAGATGAAACAGCCTTCTATTGGAAGAAGATGCCATCTAGGACTTTTCATAGCCAGAGAGAAGGCACTGCTTCAAAGCTTCACACAGCTGGCTGAATCTTGTTAGGGTCTAAGGCAGCTGGTGACTTTAAGTTGAAACCAGTGCTCTATGATGATTCTGGAAATCCTAGGGCCTTTAAGAATTATGCTGAATCTCCTCTGCCTGTACTCTATAAATGGAACAACAAAGCCTGGATGACAGCACATCTGTTTACAGCATGGTTTACTGAATATTTTAAGCCCTCTTTGAGGTCTATTGTTCAGAAAAATTTCTTTGAAAATATGACTGTTCATTGACAATGGACCTGGTCACCCAAGAGCTCTAATGGAGATGTGCAAGGAGATGCTGTTTTCAAGCCTGTGAACACAACATCGGTTCTGCAGCCCATGGATAAAGGAGTCATTTTGATTTTAAAGTCTTACTATTTAAGAAATAAATTTTGTAAGGCTATGAGCTGCCATAGATAGTGATTCCTCCAGTGAATCTGCGGAGTCGATTGAAAACTTTCTGGGAAGAATTTACCATTCTAGATGCTATGAGGAATATTCGTGATTCATAGGAGGAGGTCAAAATATCAACATTAACAGGAGTTTGGAAGAAGTTGATTCCAGCCCTCATGGATGACTTTGAGGGGTTCAGGACTTTAGAGGAAGAAGGAACTGCTGCTGCGGTGGAAACAGCAAGGAAACTAGAATTAGAAGTGCAGCCTGAAGATGTGACCGAACTTCTGCATTATGACAATACTTGATCAGATAAGGAGTTGCTTCTTACGGATGAGCAGAAGAAGTAGTTTCTCAAGATGGAATCTAATCCTGGTAACGACGTTGTGAAATCACATTGTTGAAATGACAACAAAGGATTTTTAATATTGTAAATATTACCTAAACTTAGTTGATAAAGCAGCAGCAGAATATGTGAGAGGATTGACTTCAGTTTAGAATAAAGTTTTACTGTAAAATGCTATCAGACAGCATCACATGCTACAGAGAAATCTTTTACTGTTGTCTTATTTTAAGAAATTGCCACAGCCACCTCATCCTTCAGCACCCAGCACCCTACCCTGATCAGTCAGCAGCCATCAACATGGAGGCCAGACCCTCCACCAGCAGAAAGATTACGACTTGCTGAAGGCTCAGATGATCATTAGCATTTTTTAGCAATAAAGTATTTTTTAATTGAGGTATGTACATTGTTTTTTTAGATATGATGCTATTGCATACTAGACTACAATATAGTGTAAACATAATTTGTATGTGCTGGGAAACAGAAAAGTCGTGTGACTTGCTTAATTGTGATAAAATCGCTTTGTTGAACCTTCGATATCTGTAAGGTATTCCTGTACTGTTCAATATGGTAGCCACTAGCCACATACAGCTATTTAAGTTTCAACCAGTGTGATTATAAAAAATTAAAAATAGAGTTCTTTCATTGCACATGTCCTATTTCGGGCATTCAGTACCCGCATGTGGCTAGTGACTACCATATTGGACAGCACATACAAAGAACATTTCCATCATCCCTGGCAGTTTTATTGAACTTTATTGGTCTAAAGATTGACAGTAGTTAGTGGTAACAAAGTATTTTAAAAGTTGAATATGAAGAGTTTTCAAAATGCAAACTTATAGCCTTTTCAGAGGCAGATCACTGGCTTCCTATTGCCAAATAGAAACAGAAGTATTTAAAATGTGAAGAGTAGCTGTAGGTATCTAGAATTTACAGGTTGTTAACTTTTTTTTCACTCTAAGCATACACACAGATGTACATAATTATTTTGTCATCTTTTTCCTTTTATTACAAAAGTAATACAGTGTAGTTATGGGGGAAATTGTACCGAATTCTATAAAGTAAAACGTCAAAGTCTTTTACTGTTCTTCATCCCACATCCCATTTTCCAGAGTGAGGTATAATTGGGTGAATTTTTCCAAACTTTGTAAATACACTTGCAAACATTTATACACAGCAACCTAATAATAATTATATAGACATTGCCTTTTCACTTAATGTGTCATGGCCCTTTTTCTAGACTATGAGTGCATAGTCTTCTAGTACTACCAATAACAGCATTTGTCAAGCATTTACTATACGCTACTAATTCTAACAGCTCTCTGAGACACTTCATGAAGAACTTGAGGTTCCAGGTAATTCTGTAATTTGCCCAAGAGCACATAATTTATGGGACCAGAATTTGAAGTGAGGTAGCCTGACTTCAAAGTTCATCGGTCTTTTTGTTTGTTTGTTTTCCTAAGAGACAGGGTTTCGCTCTGTCACCCAGGCTGGAGTGCAGTCACGGATCATAGCTCACTGCTGCCTTGAGCTCCTGAGCGCAAGGAATCCTCTCACCTCAGCCTCCGAGTAGCTGGGACTACAGGCATGTGCCACTGCACCCAGCTAAGTGTTAAAAGTTTTTGTAGAGATGAGGTCTCATTATGTTGCCCAGACTAGTCTTGATCTCCTGGCCTCAAGCAGTCTTCCTGCTTTGATCTCTGAAAGCGCATGTTTTAACCATAAAAATAGGTAATGCTTTAGTACACATGTACATAAATAAAAATTTAGATATTGCCAAGATGAAATTAAGAATCTTAAATAAGGACCAGCTAAGACCTGCAGGGACATGGTTTCGCAAATAATTGGAAACAAGTCATGTAAAAGTAGTTGGAAAAATACTTTTATCATGTTGAATGAGTTTATTATTACTCTGTGGAAAAAAAAATTTACAGTAACCGCGCTGCAGCAGAACCATGACTACCAAACTTGTCAGTGACTTACTCATCTGAACAATTATGTGGTGAAGCACGTTCTGTGGCTCCCTTGGGATTTGTAATCGAGTCTGAATTATATTTAATCTGTTTAAGGGGAAGACAAAGGTATGGAGCACCCATTTTGACAGGGAATCACATCACAGTTTACTAGTCATCTTGCTTTGAAATACAAGAAATACGTTGTGTTGATTTTTCATTTTTATTCTTTGTCTATGTAATTTCCATGCCATTTTTTAATGATAGCTAAAGATTATTGGGACGTAAGTAGAGCTTAGACTGCTTTTCCAATGTTGCTTTACCAGTAAATGGAAAGTCTTCTTTTAGCTGATGTTTTCTTCAAAAGGAAAATCTTCCATATTATTTAAAGGAAATATTTTATGTTACTTTTATTCCTATTGTGAATTGAAGCTTTTAGATTAGTTTTGTGTCCTTCCCTAGAACTGAATTGACAGCTGCAGTCTTAAGGTATTCTCTGATTTAAATATGACCTAGAGAGGTGCCACAATGCACTAAGAGAGATGCTTACACAAGTGAAAGTGTGTTTCCAAAGTTGCGCCACAATCTTAGTAAAACTGTGTCTCGGCCGGGCGCTCTGGCTCACGTCTATAATCTCAGCACTTTGGGAGGCCGAGGCAGGCAGATCACAAGGTCAGGAGTTCGAGACCAGCCTGGTCAATATGGTGAAACCCTGTCTCTACTAAAAATACAAAAATCAGCTGTGTGTGGTGGCGGGTGCCTGTTGTCCCAACTACTGGGGAGGCTGAGGCAGGAGTATGACTTGAACCTGGGAGGCGGAGGTTGCAGTGAACTGAGATTATGCCACTGCACTCCAGCCTGGGTGACAGAGCAAGACTCCGTTTCAAAAAAAAAAAAAGAAAAGATGTGTCTCATCCTTGCACTGTTCTTTTAAAATTGTATATATATATTTTTTCTTGCAGATACACTCTGGAAATGATTAAACTAGTACCACATAATGAAAGTGCGTGGAACTATTTGAAAGGGTAAGAGGTTGTTTTTGCTTTTTTTATACAAAAAATGAAGTGGCTATATAATGCATCATGGAGTATATTCCATAATCAGATTCCAAAAGGATAGTAAAGAATTTTTCATTTTTCTGGACCTAAGAGCAGAAGTATAACAGCATTATGGAAACTCTGGAAAAGTGCCTTCTGCCCTTCTCTGCACCTGCCAAGTACCTACCAACACCGTTTTCAGAATAATCCACCAGTAAATAATGCCATTTTAATTGTATTTACGAATTCTGTAGTCTTTATATCAAAGAATGGAGCATACACACACCCAGGCTCTGGTTGGCTCAGGAACACAGTAAAGCAGGGTAGTTTACGGGTAGATTTTGCCAATGGGCAGCCAGCCTTTCTGTTTTCATTTCTAGAGATCTCTACCTTCAAGTTAATCTCAACTAGAAAAGGTTTCACTTGCCTGGCCACTGTCATAACTAAGCTCCTTGTTGAACATAAGAGGTCTTCAAGGAAACTAGGCTCAAAGAGCACAAAATATGGAATCAGTCACCCTTGGAGATGTGTCAGGGGAGGTGCCTATAGTATCTGAAGAGCTTGAAGGATGAGAAGCCATCTCAAGAGAAGATGAGGGCTGGGCATGTTAGCTCACGCCTGCAATCCCAGCACTTTGGGAGGCCAAGGTGGGCGGATCACTTGAGGCTAGCAGGTCGAGACCAGCCTGGCCAACATTGCAAAACCCCGTCTCTACTAAAAATACAAAAATTAGTTGAGCATGTTGGTGCACACCTGTAATCCCAGCTACTTGGGAGGCTGAAGCACGAGAGTTGCTTAAACCCGGAGGCAGAGGTCAGAGTGAGCTGAGATCACACCACTATGCTCCAGCCTGGGCGACAGAGTGAGACCCTGTCTCAAAGAAAAAAAAGAAACAAGAACATCTCTCCTGGTTTTGCCCTTCACTTTTTAAGATGATTTATTCTGTGTGTTGTACAGTTTAAGTTATAAATGAATACTTTTAAACTTCATTTTTAAAAACTTTTTTTACTTAGCTCTTAATTATCCTTTTTTTTTTGGAGACAGGATCTCACTCTGTTCTCCAGGCTGGAGGGCAGTGGCATGATCATGGCCCACTGCAGTCTCGATCTTCTAGGCTCTAGTGATTCTCCCACCTCAGCCTCCCAAGTAGCTGAGACTATAGGTGCCACCACTAGGCATGGATGATTTTTTAAAAAATTTTAGTAGAGATGAGATCTTGCTGTTTTACCCAGGCTGATCTTGAACTCCTGGGTTCAAGTGTTCCATCTGCCTGTGCTTCCCAGAGTGTTGTGATTACAGGCATGAGCCACTGCACCTGGCCAGTTCTTAATTAACTAATGATCTATGATAAGACTCATGTAATGTAAAAGTTTCATGATAGTTTCAGCCTCATTAATTCAAAATAACTCTCCTTTTCTTGTTTGTGTTTCAGGGTTTATTTTCTCTTGATCTTTCTACTGCTTTTCTTCCTTCACAAAATCAAGTGTTTGTTTTTTGTTGTTGTTTACAGGATTTTGCAGGATCGTGGTCTTTCCAAATACCCTAATCTGTTAAATCAATTACTCGATTTACAACCAAGTCATAGTTCCCCCTACCTAATTGCCTTTCTTGTGGATATCTATGAAGACATGCTAGAAAACCAGTGTGACAATAAGGAAGACATTCTTAATAAAGCATTAGAGGTAAGCTGGTGGGGCTCAGTGCTATTGTTTTTGGTATCTGAGAATTGGTCGGCCCAATGCCACTAATATCCATGTCCCCTTTCAACATCGTTACTCAGAATTCAGTGCAGGGCTATTTCTGGTTAGGGGCAGCATTGATATCACTTGGCAACACAGCCTGTGACTCTTAATAGTGTGTCTCATTTGAATGTGATCTAAGTTAAATTGTATTGGCTCAAAGGCATTTGCCCTTGAGATTGGATTACATATTACTTTAATTTTTATTTTTCATTTTCAGTTATGTGAAATCCTAGCTAAAGAAAAGGACACTATAAGAAAGGAATATTGGAGATATATTGGAAGATCCCTTCAAAGCAAACACAGCACAGAAAATGACTCACAAACAAATGTACAGCAATAACACCATCCAGAAGAACTTGATGGAATGCTTTTATTTTTTATTAAGGGACACTGCAGGAATTTAAAACGAGAGTGGTCCCTCCCTTTGCCTGTGGTGTGAAAGTGCATCACACAGGTAATTGCTTTTTAACAAGAACTGATGCTCCTTGGGTGCTGCTGCTACTCAGACTAGCTCTAAGTAATGTGATTCTTCTAAAGCAAAGTCATTGGATGGAGGAGGAAAAAAAAGTCCCATAAAGGAACTTTTGTAGTCCTATCAACGTGTAATCTAATCCCTTAGCATCAACTCCTCCCTCAGTGGTACACACATCAAGATTTGTAGCAGTAATAACTGCGGGTCACTTGTATGTAATGGATATGAGGTAGCTGAAGTTTGGTTCAGTAAGCAGGGAATACAGTGGTTCCATCAGAGCTGGTCTGCACACTCACATTATCTTGCTATCACTGTAACCAACTAATGCCAAAAGAATGGTTTTGTAATAAAATTATAGCTGTATCTAAAAACAGTGTCACAGTAGTTTGATTTTTTAATAGCATTTATATATTATACAAGACATATTGTCTCAGAAAAGCAGTTAGAAAGAAAATACTGCTATAAAACTATAAACTAGAAACATGATGTGTTGGAGGAAATGTTAAAATGTAAATTGGTCAGTTCTTGACTGAAAGTGACAAAATCCACTCAAGGTAGTTTAAACCCAAAGGGTTTATTCAGGTATATAAATATCTCACAGAAGAATTGCCTGATCTTTTAGAAGTACATTTCCCGAACCATACTACACAACTGGACCATCCCATTGCTGCTGCCTGTGCCCGAATCAGGAAACTGCTGGATGAGGAATGAGGAAGCCACAACCCTGGCTGCCAGCTCCAGGACTGTGCTGTCTCTGCACGTTCCTTGCAAAGCACATCTGCTGCTTTTCCCATGTAGTGTGGTTCCAAGTTAAAGGCTCACTGCAGTGCATCTGATTGGAAGGAACCAACAGGATGTCTTAAAATCTTAACTACAGAGGAATCTGGAAAGTGTAGTTTGTAGCTTTCCAGCATGTATGATGCAGGATGCCATGCCAGGAAAGAGTTGGGAGCGGTTAGCAAGCTAGCTTGCTGTACCTGCACTTAATTCAATCTCACTTTATTTATTTTTATATATTGGGTTTTTTTTACATGGAGTCTCACTCTGTCACCCAGGCTGGAGTGCAGTGGAGTGATTGCAGCTTACTGCAACCTCCACTGCCGGGCTCAAGTAATTCTCCTGCCCCAGCTTCCCTACTAGCTGGGATTATAGGCGCCCGCCACCATGCCTGGCTAATTTTTGTATTTTTAGTAGAGACGGGGTTTCACCATGTTGGCCAGGCTGGTCATGAACTTCTGACCTCAAGTAGTACGCCTGCTTCGGCCTCCCAAAGTGTTGGGATTACAGGCATGAGACACCAGGTCCGGCCTCAATCTCACTTTATCTGTAATTTTTGTTCAATGTCAAAGCACCAAAGTACAACTAAGGAAATCATATAGAGTTAAATAGTCATCCTTTCTCAAGATAAATTTAGGAAATAATATTTTAATACTTTTGGAAGAAAATATATGTAGTGAGTGTTATTTCTAACATTTTACATGTTTTTGTTGTTTTTAGAATCCAAAAATCTCAATTTTATTTTTGAAGCTGCCATAAAGTGCCATTTCCATGTAGACCATTTCAAAGGTGTCATAAGGATCAAAAGCTACATAGAGAAGTTCTCACAAGATAGCCATTACTCTCAGCCGGGCGCAGTGACTCATGCATGTAATCCCAGCACTTTGGGAGGCCGAGGCGGGCAGATCATTTGAGGTCAGGAGTTCAAGACCAGCCTGGCCAACATGGTGAAACCCCTGTCTCTACTAAAAATTCAAAAATTAGCCAGGCGTGGTGGCAGGCACCTGTAATCCTAGCTACTTGGGAGGCTGAGACAGGAGAATTGCTTAAACCCAGTAGGTGGAGGTTGCAGCAAGCTAAGATTGTGCCATTACACTCCACCCTGGGCAATAGAATGAGACTTAGTCTCAAAAAAAAAAAAAAAAAAAAGCCTCAGAAACCGTAATCGGTGACTCAAAACTGATTGGATTTGGGACTTTGGACTCAACAGCTTATACAGACAGCTTAATAAAAAGCATAATGAGGCCGGGCAGAGTGGCTCATGCCTATAATACCAGCACTTTGGGAGGTCGAGGCGGGAGGACTGCCTGAGCCCTGGGATTCAAGACCAGCCTGGGCCCATCTCTACAAAAATTGTTTAAAAAATTATTAGCCAAGAGTGGTGGTGTGTACCTGTAGTCCTAGCAGCCCGGGAGGCTGGGATGGGAGGATCACTTGAGCCAGGGTGGTGCCACTGCACTCCAGCTTTGGCAACGGGAGTGAGACCCTATCTCAAAAAAAAAAAAAAAAATGCATAATGGAAGTTTATTAATTTAACACTTGGGTCACTATGAAGCAGACCAAACAGTTATGTCAGCCTAGCCACTTGGCATTTTTTGCCTGACGTTTAACTGTGTAGCAATTCGTTAACCAAAAGGTTGCTTAGTGAGCACTGAATCAGGTGAGGAGGCTCCGTGACTTAAAGGCAGAATGACTTTAGGCTCTAATCAACCTGAGGGTGATCTCCTAAGGGCAACTGGACACAGGACTTGCAGTGCAGTCATTTCATTAGACCAAAGTGAGGTCTATGGAAAGGCCTGCTAACTCAAAACTATCTGCCTAATAACTGTTATATTTGCATTGGTACAAAAACAGTGGTGGGTAAAACTGCTGGTGCCACAGCATAAAGCAAGGCAGTGGTACTCAGAAAAATGAGTGGCACTCTTGCTTCCCTGCTGTGCATATAGTGAAGAATGTCCTTGATTAGTCATGTATTTTTTTATTCACAACACCCAACCTGTATTTTAACGTGACTGAATGAAAGTATACATAATACATATCCATATGATTGTCTTGAGGAAAAGCATTTGTGCAGCTGTGTAAGCTGTGGGCTGTACAGGACGCATTTTCATGGAACACCATTTACTTAAACAACAAATACACTGGTTATTCATTCTTGGATGGTTGGTATATAGTCTCTCAAAAACGAATGATAGGCCGGGCGCGGTGGCCCACCCCTGTAATCCCAGCACTTTGGGAGGCCAAGGCAGGCGGAACACGAGGTCAGGAGATCAAGACCATCCTGGCTAACATGGTGAGACCCCATCTTTACTAAAAATACAAAAAAAAGAAAAAAGAAAAAAAAGGCATGGTGGCGGGTGCCTGTAGTCCCAGCTACTCAGGAGGCTGAGGCAGGAGAATGGCATGAACCTGGGAGGAAGAGGTTGCAGTGAGCTGAGATCACACCACTGCACTCCAGCCTGGGCTACAGACCAAGACTCTAAAAAAATAAAACAAAACAAAACAAAAACGAATGAAATGAGGCTGGGCACGGTGGCTCATGCCTGTAATTCCAGCACTTTGGGAGGCCAAGGCAGTGGAATCACCTGAGATCAGGAGTTGGAGATCCGCCTGGCCAACATGGTGAAACCCCATCTTTACTAAAAATATAAAAATTAGCTGGGTATGATAGCTATTCAGGAGGCTGAGGCATGAGAATCGCTTGAACCTGGGATGCAGAGGTTGCAGTGATCCAAGATCACACCACTGCACTCCAGCCTGGGCGACAGAGTGAGAAAGTGTCTCAAAAACTGTCTTTTAAAAAAAAACCAATGAAATGAGTTTGTCACTTCAAGGAAAACAACTGAATGTTGCCAATGATAAAATGTGAGCTTTCCTTTTAGTTTTTTTTTTTTTTTTTTTGAGACGGAGTTTCGCTCTTGTTGCCCAGGCTGGAGTACAATGGCATGATCTCGGCTCACCGCAGCCTCCACCTCCCGGGTTCAAGTGATTCTCCTGCCTCAGCCTCCTGCGTAGCTGGGATTATAGGTGTCTGCCACCATGCCCAGCTAATTTTTTGTATTTTTAGTAGAGACGGGGTTTCCTCATGTTTGCGAGGCTGGTGTCGAACTCCAGACCTCAGGTAATCCACCAGCCTCAGCCTCCCAAAGTGCTGGGATTGCAGGTATGAGCCACCATGCCAGGCTAAAACTGTGAGCTTTCAAGTGACAATTTTAGGCCAGACATGGTGGCTCATGCCTCTAATCCCAGCACTTTAGGAGGCTGAGGCAGGTGGAACACTTGAGGTCAGGAGTTTGAGACCAGCCTGGCCAACATAGTAAAACCCCATCTCTACTAAATATACAAAAACTAGCTGGGCGTGGTGGTGTGCACCTATAATCCCAGCTACTTGGGGGGCTGAGGCAGGGGAATCACTTGAACCCAGGAGGCAGAGGTTGCAGTGAGCCGAGATTGCACCACTGTACTCCAGCCTGGGCAACAGAGTGAAATTTCATCTCAAAAAAAAAAAAAAAAAAAAGGTATTAATTCCCAGGGGTTTGGAGATTTTCCTATTATCTTCTGTTATTTCTAGTTGTTTTTATTTTGTTTTAGTGGTTACTCCAGGGGTTACAAAATATTCAACTTTTCACAGCCTATTTAGAATATTTTGTCACTTCAGTTGTCATATGGAAACATTACCACCATATGTCTCCTTACCGTTCACCATTTCTTACACTGAAAGCCCCATCAGATAATTTTATAATTCTTTTTGTATTAAACCACCAAACATAGTTTAAAGAACTCAAGAAAAGAAGGATAGTGAATTGTATTTACCCAGTTATTTGTATTCTCTGTTATTCTTTCATTGCTGTTAACATTCTGTCTAAATAACTTTCTCTTTTTTTGAGACAGAGTCTCACTCTCGCCCAGGCTGGAGTGCAGTGGCATGATCTCGGATCACTGCAATCTTTGCCTCCCAGGTTCAAGCAATTTTCGTGCCTCAGCCTCGCGAGTAGCTGGGATTACAGGCGTGTGCCACCACGCCCATCTAATTTTTGTATTTTCAGTAGAGATGGGGTTTGGCCAGGCTGGTCTCCAACTCCTGACCTCAGGTGATCTGCCTGCCTCAGCCTCCCAAAGTGCTGGGATTACAGGCTTGAGCCACCAAAGAACTTTCTTTTAGCAGTTCAGTTAGAGTAGGTCTGCAGGCTACAAATTCTCTTAGTTTTCCTTCTTCTGAGTTTATTTCAAGGTTATTCCTGAAGGATGTTTTCACTGCATGTGGAATTCTGGGCTTGCAATTCTTTTCTTTCAGCACTTGAAAAACGTTGTGCCACTTTGGTCTTCGTGATCTCAGAGGATAAATTCACTGTCATTAGGATTGTGGGTCACCTAGAGCTTGTGGCATTTCTCTTTGGTTGCTTTCAATTTTTTTCCTTGTCTTTATTTTTCAGCAGTTTGATTTTGATGTGTCTGGGCATGGATGTCTTTGGATTTGTGTTTGGGTTTGCTCAGTTTTTTGAATCTGTAGGTTGGTGTTTCTTTCCCAAACTTGGGAAGTTTTCAGCCATTATTTCTTCAAAAACTTTTTAGTGCTTTCTTTCTCATCTGCTCT